GGAGAGCTGGGAGGGTGTTTAGGGTGCAGTGGGTGGCCAGCTGACACAGCTGGACCCCAGGAAGGGAGACCGAGAGAGGAAAGGGGAAGAGCAGAGCAGTGTTCTTGCAAATGACCCCCTTACCCTCTCTCACTGGGGCTCTCCACCCCCTTCATTCTCTCCCCATCAAATTCAGCCTTCACCAGAGCTGCCAGGCACTCCTGCTGAAGCACAACTCCAATCCTGCCTCTCACCCACCTCATAACCCCCAGCAGCTTGCCCATGACCCTCCAGGTAAAGTCCCTGTTCTTTAGCCTGGTGTCTGAGGCCTTCTGGAAGGATCTCAGCTGCTGCCCTCTTCCCACCTGTCATTTTAAGTCCCCACACGCCAGAGCTACTTATAGCTCTAAGGGTCCCATGCTGCATCCTCTGGGCCTTTGCACATCATTCCCTGTGCCTGGGATGCCTTTTCATCGCACGTGCCTGGAAAATGCCAAGTCTTTCAAGCATCTCCTCCTTGGACAAGCTTCTCTGACTCCCTCAAGGAGTTGCGATCGCCCCTTCCTTTGTGCCGCCTCTCTGCCTCATCTACCTTGTCTCCGAAGTCTTTTCTCCCACCCAGTGGTTCTCAACCTTCTGGCCCTTTAAATACAGTTCCTCATGCTGTGACCCAACCATAAAATTATTTTCGTTGCTATTTCATAACTATAATGTTGCTACTGTTATGAATTATAATGTAAATATCTGATATGCAGGATGGTCTTAGGCGACCCCTGTGAAAGGGTCGTTCGACCGCCAAAGGGGTCACGACCCACAGGTTGAGAACCGCTGCACTAGACCAAGAGCTCCTTAGGAAAACAGACCGTGGGGATATTCATTTGTCTCCTCCATTTCCAGCCTGCTCCTTGGGATACGATAGCACTAATATTTAATGAATGAAAGGACAGTTATAGCACATTATAAGAGCCAGCATGTGCTAACTACTCACTGTAATTCTTAGACTGTGTAAGCGTTTAAAATGCATGACCTGTGTTATCCTCATAAGAACTGTGGTGGGCGGGTATTGTGACCATGTCTGTTTTACAGATGAGGAAGCCGAGGCGAAGTGACTTGCCCAAGGACATTGAGCTTGTCCGTGGTAGAGATGGGTTTTGAACTCAGACCGGGCTAGTTCTAGTGTCCATGCACTTCCCCACCATCCTCTACTAGTATTGCCTCCATAAGAGAGACAACCACCAGGTCTCAGAGAACAGCAGGGCCCTGGGGACGAAGGTTTGCAGGAAAATCTGCAGGAAATTGACAGTAAGCCAGCTTTTCTTTGAGTAACAGTGATGACCACAAACACTGGTGGTTGCCTACCCCAAAGCCCATTTCCCCTTCTTTTGCCTGTGAACACCCCTCCCTACACAATGCAGGTGAGTCCTGGCTGGTCGAAGCTAATCTTGGTGGCATCATCCCTCTTGTCTGTGATTGCTTCATGGGTGGGTATGTAATCCAGGTAGCTCCTTAAAATTTTTTAAAATTATGGTAAGATATACATAACACAAAATTTATCACTTTAACCATGTTAAAGTGCCAGTGAACTCTTTAAAGGGACAGCTGGACTTGTGGTTGGACCTGGTTGGTAAAGATGTAGTGCCTGGACCCTCTGCATCATCTTGTGATCACGAGGATAGTAGCCAATACACTGAGATGATAGAATAAAAATATATTTAAGCCCTAACCGGTTTGGCTCAGTGGATAGAGCTTCGGCCTTCGGACTGAAGGGTCCCGGTTCGATTCCGGTGAAGGGCATGTACCTTGGTTGCAGGCACATCCCCAGTAGGGGGTGTGCAGGAGGCAGCTGATCGATGTTTCTCTCTCATTGATGTTTCTAACACTCCATCCCTCTCCCTTCCTCTCTGTAAAAAATC